GTGCAAGTTAAATGCTGTTTAGATTTTAAAGTATAGTAGGACCATATGAGTATCTTTCTGTGTATTGTGTCCATGCCTTCCTTAGAATAGTGGGGACATTTAAAGAATGTTTAAAAACATTTCTGGTCATCAGTTGGACTTTATTAGGGTAGTGTTAATATCCTTTTTAAAATAACTGTTTGCTAGAGTTATCTTGCTAGTTTGATGGAACATTTAAACTTCATTTGTTAAAATTTCTTGTAGCAACCATATATATATCTTACTTTGATGTATTATGAAGATAATATAAAGACAGAAGGGGCAGAAAAATCAGTTGGAGAAACAAAGACTGAAAATTTTCCATATTTGGCAAAGACTACAATCTGTAAATCCAGGGTGCTAAACAAATCCTAAGCAGGATAAATACAAAGAAAACCATACCAGGGCATATCATAATTAATCACTCAAAACCAATGATAAATAGAGAAAATTTCTTTTTTCAACAACATGTTATTTTAAGTAATCTCTACACCCAAAGTGGGGCTTGAAATTATAAGCCTGAGATCAAGAATCACCTGTTCTACCAACTGAGCTAGCCAGGCACCCAAAAGAGAAAATCTTAATAGCAATCAGAGGAAACAGAGAACAACATAAGTAAGGGAAACAGTTAATAAAAATATTCACTGACATCATCAGAAAACAATGTTAGAGAACAGTAAAATGGCATCTTGAAGGTGCTGAAAGAGGAAAAAAACAAAAACCTATTAGCCCTGAGTTCAGTACACAGCAAAATATTCTTAAAAATAAAAGCAGTATTTTCTGACAAACAAAAGCTGCAAGAATTCAGTGCCAGCGGATGTGCCTACGAGAAATATTGAAAAACGTTCTAAATAGAACTAAATAGAAACTCAAATATTCAGATGGAATGATGGCTGTCAGAAACAGTAAATGTATCAGTAAATATTTAAATTTTTTGTTTTCCATACTGCTTTTGAAAATAACTCACTGTATAAAGCTATATTAAAAAAGACACCAAACTTACAATAATTGACAATACTTGGGACATAATAGGTTCTCAGTAAATTGAATGAATAAATGAAAGTTTAAAATAATAATCTTTAGCTGCCAAGAAATCAGTAATTTTCTATTTCTTATTTAGCTGCTACATTAAAAAATGTTATAAGTTTAATATTTGCAAAAGGATGAAACTATATATTTTATAAAGCAGTACATACCTTAAGAAATTTTAAGGATACAAGTTTGAAAGATAATAAAAATAATTTGAAGAATATTCAGAGACATTTTATTCCTCCTCCAAAAATATTTAGTCTCTCTTCCCCTCTGCATTTTCCAAAGTAGTAACAAAACTCAGCATATCCTGGCCAATATGAGGGGTGAAAAGGGGGGCAGGAGTGCCATTCTGAGAGTATGAGAAATAAGAATGGTTAATCATTATGGTAACTCCTTTTGTATATCAAACTCTTCCTCTTTCAGAGTTCTGAAAATACTTTGCTTCCAAAATCACTCTGTGGAAAAGGAGGGATATAGAACAACCATATACACAATTACAGAACATTGACAGCAGATGCTAACTGTGTCACCCTTAGAGCAAAACCATAAAAACTACTTTAAAAAGTGATATTTACTTACATAAAGCAAATGCTGCAGTAGAAAGTGCTCTAACTTCTGATTCAGATTTAACAAATTTTATTCAGGTGTGGGAGAGGAAGAATTAAATCGTTTTATATAATTCAGAAACTGAAGATGAAAGATACTGTCCTCTTCTTTCTCCCTTTAGGTTTTATTTTCACAGCCTTGAAGAGCTGGGTTGCCCACTGCTTAGAATGAGACAGCGCTGCCCTTGAGTGTAAGGAGGTGGTAAAATTCTACTGTACTATCCTAATTGGGTTAATGCTGCAGAGTAGAACAATACAGCTGGACTTTAAAGAATGAACAGTGGTAGAGTGCCTGGGTGTCTCAACTGGTTAACTCTCTGACTCTTGATTTTGGCTCAGGTCATGATCCTGGGACAAAGCCCCATGTCGGGCTCCATGCTCAGTGTGGAGTTTGCTTGAGCATTTCTCTCTCTCTGCTTCTGCCCCTGCCCCACTCATGCACACTCTCTAAAATAAATGAGTAATTCTTAAAAAAAAAAAAAAAATTAACAGTAGTGCTAAAAACTCGAATATAAAAAATTCTCAGATTCCCAGGGTTAGTTATTGATATATTTTTCTTTTTGCAGAAAGGCCAATTCTTTAATTTTTAAATGTTTTTATTTTTAAAAGATTTTATTTATTTGTCAGAGAGAAAGAAAGAGCGCAAGCAGTGGGAGCAGCAGGCAGAGGGAGAAGAAGGCTCCCCACTAAGCAAGGAGCCTGATGCAGGATTTGATCCCAGGACCTTGGGATCATGACCTAAGACGCAGGCAGACGCTTAACTGACTGAGCCACCCAGGTATCCCAAGGCCAACTCTTTAAATTAGAATACCTTCTTATAGAAGAGGTTTGGAAATGACAAATTTCTAACATCCCAGTGCAGACAAGCAGAAATGAATCTGTATTTATTGAGGTCAAGTAAATGAAGAAAGGGAGCAATAGCTTGTCATTTTTTTTTTGTTGTTAGAAAATGGTTTATCAATTCCATTTTTGTATAAAACACACAGAGAAACCTAGCAAATTGACACTAAGTGCTGCCACATGGAAAGGTACTTTATCAAACTTTGAGCCTAAGAATGTATAAGTGTCTCTTAAATGCCCACACTAATTGTCTATGCTTTTCTGTCTGCCTCTTACAAAAATTCCACAGTCCCCATTGTTTCTTCTGTCCCAGTTACAGTGCAATGACAGGGAGGAAGGGGATTGGTTAAAACAATGCTCTAAGGGTCTCTGCTGCCCCTTTCCAATCAGAGAGACTTGTGGATGTGTGGGATCACACCAATCGTGGTGATGGGGCCTTTGTAAGAGAAACAAACTCTGTCATCACAGATTGCAAGCTGCAGGTGGCTTCATTACTTCAAAATGGGAAAAAATAATAACAAGGAAACACTAAAAGTCACAGTCTAGAGGCAGAGTCTGTGGAGCATGTGACTCTTGATGTCCCCGTTAAGTTCAAGCACCACGCTGGGTGTAGAGATTACCGAAAAAATAAAATCTTCTTTTAAAAAAATCACATTGTCATTAAAAATAATAGAATGTAAGATTATGTCCAGTTTCAGAAGACTCAAATGTTCTAAAATCTAGTTTCAATCCAAGTTATGAAAACTAAAATAATAAACAATTTTAGTTCCCATACCAACAGAGGTAGAATGGTATAAAGATATCTGGGCCTGAATATCGAGTCTACTATTTACTAGTTGTACAGCTGCTGACCTTGACCAAGTCACTTTCCTGCTCTGGGTTGAGGATTAAACATCTGTAAAATAGGAAAATAGGGTGTCTAGCAAAAGTCATTAGATCAGCTCGAGCATTTCAGTGTTAATTTTTAGCTTTATTTGGGTACATCTAGAGTAGCCTTTATTTTTGAGCGAATTTAACTCTCCTAATAAGGCATGGCCTTCCTGAATTCTCCACTGAAAATCCTGGATGTTCAGTGAAGCTGCCTAGAACTCACTTATCTCCCCGCCCATGTGAGCTCTAGGAATTGCATAGCGTACAGCTCCCTGACGGTTCTTTGCCTGGTCTAATGAAATCTCTCCCTAAACATGTATAGCTTGATTTTGGCCAAAACTCGAGGAGATACTATGCAGATTTATGGAACTCTGTCTCTGTGTCCTTCCCTCCTTGGGAGAACTCTCCTCACAAATTTCAACTTCCTCAGTCTCCCCAAACTCTGAAATCTGTTTCCTCAACTCAGTGAGAATGCCATGTTTTACTTGTATTTCTCCTCCTTATTTCATAGTCTGTTTAGTGTACAGTTCATGTGTGTGTGTGTGTGTGTGTGTGTATAATGTGAATATTTGTCATATACACCATAGTATATTGTATAGTATATTGTGTGTGTGTGTGTGTGTGTGTGTGTGTGTGTGTGTGTGTGTATATATATATATAGTACCTTTAGGCAAAAATCTGGGGTGACCTTAGGGCTCATTTCATTTGTCTTCTCTCAGGAGTCATTGCCTTTCCCTGCTTGCTATACAGTATCTGAAAATAGTTGTATCATATAATTATGTATCTTACACAGTTTTCTTTTCTTTTCTTTTTTTTTTAAAGATTTTTTATTTATTTATTTGACAGAGATCACAAGTAGGCAGAAAGGCAGGCAGAGAGAGAGGGGGAAGCAGGCTTCCTGCTGAAGAGAGAGCCTGATGCGGGGCTCGATCCCAGGACCCCAAGATCATGACCTGAGCTGAAGGCAGTGGCCTAACCGACTGAGCCACCCAGGCGCCCCCAGTTTTCTTGCTATTTACAGAGAGAGGGCAAGTCCATCAGGACTGGAAGTCAAGTCCTTGCTAATATAGTTTTGATTCTATTTGTTCTTATTGTTTTTAAAGATTTTTATTTATTTATTTGTCAGAGAGAGTGAGTGAACACAAGTGAGGGGAGCAACAGAGGGAGAGGGAGAAGCATGCTTTCTGATGAACAGGGAGCCTGACATGGGGCTCAGTCCCAGGACCCTGGGTTCATGACCTGAGCTCAAGGCAGATGTTTAACCAACTGAGCCACCCAAGTGTCCCTGATGTATTCTTATTTAAGTGGGTGCTTAGTTAATGGAAATCCCATCCAGCTGATTATTCAGGGGGTTATGTGGCCATGCCTCTGAGTTTTGGGTCACCATCTGACTCACCTGCCATAAGAATTTCAAGTAAGCACAGACTGGGTCATCTTGCATGACAGCAAGATTACTAGCAAGATGTAGCAATTCCATTAGATTACTCTCTCATTAATTTAGGGCTACTGAAGTTTAAAAGATGCTACATTTTTGTTATGTCCTCTTAAATCAGATCCCATTCTTTTAAATCATGTTTTCCTGACGTGAAATGACTTAGCTGTATTGTTAATTACTATATCCTTTTCAAATTTCAGGAGCAGTATTTCTTTCTATTACAACCATCTATGCTGAAAGTGGGTCAGGTTTTGTAGTACCAAGTGCTTCTGCCAAAGCAGGAGTGGAAGCCATGAGCAAGTGAGTACTACTATGTTAATCCAATCAGCTCGTAATTCTGTTAAGACATGAAGTTGCTACTTTCTTAGCAAGTGCAGTACAAGTACATGCCAAGGGGAGGTATGGTCATGAATTCTGTCAAAAGCATCACTCAGAAGCAGTTTTGATGTATGAGTTGCCTGAAAGAGGTGCAGTCCACCCATTCCCTAAAATGCACTCATGGACTAAGATAGATTAGCAGATTGTAGTTGGAGCACTTGCCCCCTATCCTTTTGAGTGTGAATGAGTTTTGCTGAATTGGCCTTTGAAGTGATCTTGTCAGAATGTATTAATTGATATCTTATAGTTTCATAAGACTTATCTCTTTGTATCTATTGCAAGGACACAGTATTGTGTTGCTATATTACACATTTTTCATTTTAGAAGTCTTCTTGAAAGAAATGCTTTTCTGATTTTTTTTTTTTAATCAAGAACAATTGTGCTTTTCCTGAGAAATTAACTTGCCTTTCCCTTACGGGCTCTGCAAAGTGTGTAATTGATTAGGGCTTCTCAGAAAGTGTGGATGCAAATTTGTGACCAACCTATTGTGATTGTATAGAATGCCACAAAACATTTAGGTATTAGCTCCTTTCTTTTTTTTTTTTTTTTTTTTTTT